AAGAAGGAATACTGTTAAGAAGGTCAAAATAATAGCCACCATCTCTAGGCCTGCAAATCATCCAAATGGAAGCATAATGGGCTGCCCAAAGCATGCCAAGAAAACGGGTATTATAAGGAGGCACATTGAAGCAGTGCAACATGAGGCTCAAACAGGGTTGAGCCCTTAAGAGACCATGAAAATGAGCTCAAAATAATGATCTTTCCCAGTTTTGGTCGGAGCTCAATCGTACAAGACAAGAAAGGCTACAGAAATGTTTGCAATAAAATGAGCTCAAAAGATGGAAACATTGGACTTACCTTGAAGATCAATTTTTTGTTATGCTTCTTAGGGCCAACTTTGTTGCCTCTTATGCTTCTGGAATTCCTCTCCTTGCTCTTGGAATGGAGTGGTGGTGGTACGAGCTTGGTGTTGTACGGTGTGAATGGTGCGTGTCAGACTGAAGCTTGTTTAGGAAAATGAGAGAAGATGGAGGAGGAAATTTGTCTCTTCGAGGTCTTGAAGAACCAATTCTTTCTTCTAAACTTTTGAATGTGATTAATCTTGCTGTTTATACGCAAGGCCAAAGGGGGGTGTAAAAGGTGGGGGAACAAGGAGACAAAACTTTTCCCCCGCAAAATATCCCCCCGGATAAAAGATCTTTCTGGGGGATAAAGCTTCCACAGCTGTTACAGGAGGGAAACAGTGCAAGGAGCTCCGGCCGGCCTTTGTACTTTCTAGCTGCAGCGTCGGCACGGCCGGCCACACCCCTAGCCAGCCGGCTAGTGGGTCAAAGGGTCACAGCAGATTTTCTGGCCGGGCCACCAAATTGATGGTGTCCTCCTAATGTGTAGTACAACACAACCGTGTGGCTTAAAAAGCTCGCAAGACAGTGCCAGGGGTTCAACCCATTAGCCTCGGAAAGCGCAGGGGTTCAACACAAAGGTCAGGTGGAATTACTCGGCCCGTCCGCACCAACTTTACGGGTCCTCTCATGTGTGTAACCGTAACACAATCATAGTGGTTCAAAGTTTCAAGAAAAAGGGTCCAAGGGGTTCAAGCATGAGCAACCGCCAAGGGAGGGGGTCAAAGGGTCAAGTAACATTTACTGGCCGGACACCCATGCTTGTTTAGGGTTCCTCGCCCATGGTCGTGTACATCAACAATAGTGTGGTACCGCAAAGTTCGTAAGAAAAATGGGCCCAAGGCTGTTCAACATCAACCTCGTTGTGTCTCAAGCAAAAAGAGATTGGAAGGTCAAAGAGGAAAGGATGATAACCTACCACCAAACCTTGGGAATCTGATTCTACCGAATCTTGTGCGTCGGAATCAGATTCCAGCTCGACTGAGTCTGAGTCCGGTATTCCTGGGGGTGATAACCCGGATACCACAGTCCTGTCTAGGTCGTCTTTTTCATTTTCTTTTGAGTCTGTTGTAACAGAGGAATCTGACGGCTTGGAAGTATTTAATGAGAATGATGTGGATGTGGTTTCGGCGAGCGGGGGTGCTCACGAAGTGACCTTCCCCAATCGTACCCAAGTTCCCGAGCCGAGGCAACTTTGGTGATGACGGACACGTGGCCTTTTGGCACCGAGTCAGGGTTTCCTAAATTTCCCAAAATAAAATATTTAGGTGGCGACTCTGTATCTGGCAAAGCAGTCCATGTTTGGCACTTCTTTCAAAAATCAGTTTTCTCAAAACGATTTGCCGGATTTGGACTCTTTGGTTCAGATTAGGAACCGTGACATTTTAAGAGTCCGAGTTGTAGTGACCCCAAAATGAACAGAACGGGAGCTCACCCTCCCGGGGCGTTCGGGGACGTCTACACTATGGAGGTTAATATTGTCAGTGAACATGTTATTGGTAGGTCTTTTTCCAGTAAACATTTCCAACAAAAAGACTCCATAGCTATACATATCAACTTGTGTTGATATCTTTGCACCCATGCATACTTTGCAGTATAAAACAGTAAACAAATATGCAATATCATTAAACTATTAAACTTATTTTTGAGTCTCCTTTTATTTTTTCGTTCTTTTTTTTTTCTTCGAAAAATTCTAAAATTTTCTCGGGAATTAGAGTCTACATCTGAATACCAAGATGTTTCTATTTTGTATATAAATTCATTTACCAAGTTTACCTTACACCAATATTGAAATTAAATTAGATTTTAATCAATTTAATGGATAAACAATAAATGAAGAAAATTACCTGGGGCAACATATCAAATTGTTCCTCGAATCCAAATTGAATTCGATTGTTGATAAGTGGATATATTTGTAGTAGCCGAGAGAATTCTTGCGAGGCCAAAATCACCAACATGGGCACATAAGTCATCATCAAGAAGATTATTGCTTGGCTTTAAATCACAATGAATGATAGTAGTTTCACAATGATGATGAAGATAATCTAAAGCAGAAGCTACATCAATGGCTATGTTTAGACTTTGAACAAGGTTCAAATTCTTTGGGTCTTGCTGGTTAGAAAGACTTTGGTGTAACCGACTCTCTAAAATCCCATTTGACATGAACTCGAAAACCAAAGCCTTGAAATCGTTGCCTTTAAAATCTATGCTTGAGCACAATGTTATGATCTTAACGAGATTTTGATGGCGAATGTTCCTTAATACTTCACATTCATCCATGAAACTCATGTTGGCTCCACGTTGTAGAAGGTTGAGCACCTTCACAGCAACAATTTGTTCACCAGAGTTGAGAATCCCCTTGAAAACAGAACCATACCTTCCCTCACCGATCAAGTTGGCCAAAGAGAACCCATTGGTTGCTTGAAGAAATTCTGCATAAGATAGTTTTGGATACTTGTTTTGCAAAGGTGATGTCAAAGAGGATTGTTGTCTAGACCTTCTAACTTGATAAAAAATCACTAAGAGGCTGAGTAATAATAGAACTATAACCAAAGTAGTTACTAGAGGTATTATCACTCTATGGTTGATGGGTTTTCTCATTTTCTCTAAGACTTTCGCAGGGCATACAGGCAATATTAATTATTTAATTCCTCCACAAAGCTTATTATTTCCAACAACTAAAAGGGCACCAATGTTCTTAAATGCTCATTCACTTGGAACTTCACCTTCAAATTTATTGTAAGAAAGGTTGAGATCATAAATTAAAGTGAACTCTCCAAGAAACCTCAGAATATGCCCGGACAAGTTATTGAGAGACAGATCTAGGACTTGAGTACCTTTCAATCGTTTGAAGGATGCTGGAATGGTACCTTCGAAAAGGTTACCTTCCATATAAAGGAATTCTAACAATTGATAACTACCAAGGGCAGTCGGGGTTTCTCCAATTAGTTTATTTTCTGATACATCCAATACTCCGAGATTTCATAGATTACCAACTTGCGATGGTAGTTGCCCTACCAAATAGTTATGATATATAGAGAATAAAATTGAGAGTGAAGAAAGACTAACAATTTCTCCAAATATTGCTCCAGTGAGGTGATTGTATCCAAGCTCAATATTTTGCAAGTTTGTACAATTGCCCATAGAAATAGGCATGCTTCCCTCTAGCATATTATTTGACAGGAAAAATGTATTTAACCGGCTAAGGTTTCTAATAGAAGATGGGATTTTTCCTGATATGTTATTTGTGTAAATGTACAATTCTTCCAACTTGGAGAGTTTTCCAATGGAATCCGGAATACTACCAGTGAGCTTGTTCTCAGCTAACCCGAGTAACCATAAACTAGCAAGGTTTTCTATCCAAGGAGGTATGATTCCAAAAATGTAGTTCGTATCGAACAACAATGAGTTGAGCTTGGTGGAGAGATTTACAATGGAATGGGTCAATGAACCTTCAAAATGATTTTTAGACAATTCCAAAGCTCTTAGTTTGGAACAATTGGATAAAGAAGTGAGAAAATTCATCAACTCGCCTCTATTAACTCCGAATAAGTTGTCATAGATGCTAAAAACTTGAAGATCATGAAGGTTTCCTAAATTCATTGGTATAGGACTAGTAAAGGCATTTGTTTTTAAATCAATCTCTACAAGTCCTGAAGCATTAGCTAATGATATGGGAATAGTGTTGTGAGGTCACCCCATGTGAAAGAGGTGATCATCTTTCTTCTTCTAGATAGTCATCAATGGAGGCTGATGAAGTCAAGGAAGATGGCCAACTACCTTACCTACTAACAAGTTGCAATGGACTGCCACCGAAAAGGAGAAGGAGAGGACTGGCAGCCAGCTCACATGGAAGACTACATCTCCTACCATTATGTGTATAAATAGAGAGGGTAAGGGAGAGTGTCATGACCCAAACCCGCCCCTATAGGTTTCGCATCGTAACCGGCCAGTAATCCGTGGATTACCAAAGGCCTCTGAACAAATAAGCACAAGATAAGGGGCTGCGGAAGCAATTATACAAAATATATAGGGTCCAATGAGCTGTGATGACATACATGGAGCAGAAAATTCTGAAACTTATATATATATATATATATGCACAAGCGTGTCGGTCGGAGGACCTCAATATTTACAAAACATTTACATAAGTGGAGTTCCCAGGACCTGACTTTACAAACATTCAGAAACTAGTATAAGTACAAAAACAGCCATGCAACTAGACTTCGATCGGAACCTCCTCGGGAGGCACAACGGTTGGTTGACAAAATAGGACAAAAGGCTGTCAACTCTGGCCCTGGTCACACGCCAGCTCACCTACATACATAATATAAACTGTGAGCTAAAGCCCAATGAATAATAACAGAGTAAAGGATTTAATGAATGATGTCCATTACAGAGTTAGAAATCAAATTCTTATCAGAAACAGATTCATATACATATTCCTAATCATTTCCATATTCAGATTTTGCATATAATCATACGTGGCACATCCATTAGCGTTAACAAATCCGATGACCCATAAAGGGACAGCCTTGAAGGCATTCTGATGACTCATGTACACAGAGACGTTTCTGATGACCCATGAAGGGACCTGATGACCCATGAAGGGACGCATATTATATGAAGCTAAGGATGCCATGAATAACTTTCAGAATCTTGGACAACCATTCATTCATTCGAAACATAGCGTAGCATTTCAGAAAACTAATCATTTTATGTCATAATGTTCAGAAAATATTTAACATTGAACATAACTTTACAAAGTTATTACTCACAGATGATTGGTAGCCCTAACTAGATGGTAAGGCGGCCCTTCACTTGTTCTGAGGCGCGTGACCTACATAACATGGCAGATGAACAAAGGGCCGACTGGGCAGCTAACCTACTGTTACCAAATCCGGCTTGGCATGAAAGGTCGCCTTGTCAGCCGGCAAGGAGTCCGAGGCAGCCAAGCTTAGTGCCACAGCTGGATTTTTCAAAGCCGACGCTTCAGAAGAGATCGGCATGTTTTTTTTCTTTGGCTTAATAACGAAAGGAGCAACCACAGTCGACTCCTCTAAGCGTGGCCGTTTATCAATGGGGCCCTCTTCAGAGCCGTCCTTGCCCTCAGCGCTTCATTTTTCACCCCGATCCTCTGAAATCGGCCGCTCTTCTGTAATTTGGCGCTCATCCTTTTCCGTCTCAGTCATGATAACGTGAGTTGTTTCTTCTACAACAGTAGGTTGAACAGATTTAGTCAAACAAGTCCAGAATGGATGGCCTCGGCCTTTCATCGAGCGGCCATGCGTTTGGCGTTTCTCTTTCGCGCCATCTGCGTAAGATTTTCTCCTGCCATATCCTCAGAGTAATCGCCGGGAAGGTCTCCCAAGTTTGTAAAAATATCTTCGAAGGCGTCCCCTCGGCCTGATGTGGACGGAGGGTCATAAGAGTTCAATCTGGCTTCCTCAAAGGCCGAATTAATAGCTTTGTCAACTTCCGCGGCCAACCGGTCTGGGACCTCGGCGATTGGTTCGGCCACTCGTTCTTCCATGTGTTCAAAAGCAGATGATTCCAAACCAATCTGTCTCAAGTTTTTGAAGCTGGGAAAGATGAGGGCTGTAAGATGCCTGTCGCCTCGCGCAATCGGAATGTTGTCTGCCTCTGAGAAAGTTGTGTAAGTCAGATCGTACCGTAGTAGAATGTGGGCTGCCCTCCCTTGTTTTTGAAGGTCTGGACGGCCGATGAACTGTAGTGCGGTTTTAATTTCTGCGAGCACAACGTCGTCGTCTGAAACCAGCACTCTCTTCGAATTGCTACCTGCTTAAACAAAACGATTAGATAAATACAGTGCCGAATAAATATATATATAAATAACAGAAAAAAAAAAGTGATCTAATTGGCCACCTGGTTCGCCCTTTCACCTTGGCATAACGTCTAGGTGATCTTCTCCTTCGCCGAATTCCCAATTGTCGCGGACAACGACCATCACGTCGTCGACACGCTTGCCAGAGCTGCCAAGCATGGTCACTAAGTGATGGTCAGTATCCTTGGCTCTAAGAAAATAGCGTCCTAGCCGGCCAGTAGATTTGGCTAGGACATAACAATGCCGAATGGCGGGAATACCTAAACTAATTCTAAGATGCCGATTTAGCTCTACAATTCCCATTATGATGCGAAAGAAGTTCACATTGGGCTGGGAAGGGATGAGACCCCAGTACCGAAGAACAACCCTCAAAAGTGGGTAAAGAGGAAAGCGGACGTCGCCCTCAGCAATTGATAGGAGAAGAAAGATGATTGAGCTCTCATCTTCCCTCTCTATATCAGTGGTACTGTCTACCAAAAGTGACAGGTGGACGTCGTCGGGGATGGAGAAATGGCGTCGGAAGCCGGAGATTCGATCCGCAGAAAGGAGCTCCTTCAGATGTTTTGCCATTTCGGCCAACTCAAGGATTATGGAAAACTAAAAGCAAACAAAGGAGGAGGATAAAAAATGAAGGAGAAGAAAACTTACAGGAAACGAAGAAAAGAGCGAGAAACAAGGAGTTGTGGAAGCCGCGAAGAGAAGGAGTTGCACTAGAGGGCGAGCAAGATATCTTTTGAATATTCAGAACATACATTCGAAGAGACAATTTCAAATCATATTAAATGAAAGTAGTGTATGAAGGGGCGGGAAAGCGTTACAAAGACCAAGAAGCTTATACGCGTTCTGACATACATTAGGAAGGATTAACCGCCGAATTTTTGACTTCCCAGGCTAGAAGCCAAACACGCCGACTAACTGATGCTAGTAGGGTGTTTGGGGGGCAATTTTGGGAGCCAAATTTCATCAGATCCATAGGGACGAATGAGCATGTTCGGTCCAGAACGTAATATCTATTCGGCACATACCCTAGTCAATTGAAGGGACGAATAAAACAACAAGTACCCCAGCCAGTAGAACGGAGGCAGAGTAGAGGAACATGTAAACAGATCAAGGATGGGCCTAACCCAAAGGCCCAAAGAGAATACTATAAATATGGGATCACCCATCAGAGAAAGGTACGTGAGAACTATTACACTTTACTTAAAATACAAGTAATTGAGATAGTAGAGACTGACTTGCCCATCGGAGTGCTAATTCCGACACCCCCGATCGGAGTGCCGATTCTTTTTCAGGTGGCTAGCTGAGGATCACGAGCGTCCCCTAGGATCAAAAGAGTATTTCCAAACCACTTCTCCATAATGTATATGAAAAGTTTTAATTTCCTGTCCCATATATGTCTGCACAGCTCTATGGACTATGCAAATTTGTATTTTTGCTACCGCAACCCCTGTTATACATACTATTCCGTTCAGAGGCCTTCGGTAATCTAAGGATTACTGGCCGGTTACGATGCTAAACCTATAGGGGCGGGTTTGGGTTGTAACACATCCAGAGAGTTTGGGTGGAGTCACCTCAACAGGGAAACGGTGAGCATTCTATTAGAGGATGCAAGTACCTGGTGATAGAGGTACAAGCCATGTAGGATTATGTGTAGCAGTTGAAGACATTCCAAGTAAGAGGTGCAGATTCACTCCCGATGCTTGGTGGAATGAAGGCATATTTGTACAATGATGTTTTATCATCCATGTGGGTGATAGGGGTGAAAAATTTCGTTCACCCGGTTAAAGCCAATTAGAAGCCAATTAAAGACCCTTCAGAGTCAGTTGCAGAAGTTATCAGTTCATTTGGAGACTCATGAGTTTGTTGCAGAACTTCAGGGTTCGTTAGGTTTTCTCTAGGAGATAGAGAGAACAGGCATTGGCAGAGTATACTACAGAGATTTGGGATGTATGATAAGTCCAAATTATGGTACTTTATTGGCATTGGCCTCAGTGGAGGCATTGGAGATCCTTCATGGATCATTTTTGGAAGATATGCATCTGGTAAAGCCTAGGTATCCACATTTGTTGATTTCAAGGAGAAGTTGTGGCAATCTACTTCAAATATTGGTGGAGTTTTGGCGTCCTCTTCCAATGTCTACTGGAGGCATTGTTTGTTGGCAGTCTTTCATGGATTATTAGTGATTGTTCAGAGTCATGGTTTATTAAGATTCATTATCACAGTTGGGATCTATGATCATGTCTGATTAGATCTAGGGGTGTCTTTGATTTGTGAGACTTGATTGTTTCTTTTTCTTTTGGATTTTCATTTTCACAATCTGTTGCATATTCGAAGACATCAGCTATTGGTAGTCTAAGTGACGAATCAGACTCCGGGTGTTTGCTTCTGTGGAAGCAGTATGACCATTGGTGTTCGATAAAGATTGGAAGACATTGTTATAGAGAAACGTGAATATGGTGATTTTGTGAATCTCATGTGTTAGGATCCATCCCTTAATTTGCCTTTGGATTTGGAGGGGATAGATTGTTTGCAGACTCGGTGGAGTCAGCGGGGACTGTTGGAGTTGTGCATTTACAGTACATGCACATTTGGGCGATTTTGGCAGCCGTAAAGATGGTGCACCATCTTATGTCTGCCGATTGGAATTGCAGATGGAGGAATCTGAAGTTTGCTCAACACTTCAGAATTTTTTTTGGCTCTTGGTATTTTTGTAAGTTCATTTCAAGTTTGTTCCGATACTTCCGAACTGGTTAGAGCC